CCTTCCAAGAATTGTTTTCATGTCAGAAAACCAATGTGTGATCGATCGATCGCCTTGGTAAAATAGAGGATTAATGTCCCTAAATGCCATACTCACTACTTATTTTCTGGATAAAACATTGGGTATGGTAAGTTTCTGCTTTTGAAAACATCTTTCTCCAGATTTTTATTTGGGCGGGGGATGTATTAAAAAACATATAAAATGTATCACCTTAACTGTTTTTCACTTCTCACAGATTTCTTTATATACCTCCAATATGTGAGCGATGATCAAAATCACCTTTGAAACAGTGACAGATTTTGGTGAACATTTCTGTGAACCTGGCCTTGGGGTTGGGGGAGCACAGGGCTGCCATTAAGCCCGAGCCTCCATGATGTTGCCCAATGAGAGCACGGGCAGGCGAAAGGAGGGGGGCAGCGGGGGATGCAACTCATCTCCTTGGAGTGTCCTGCTGGCCCCCAGTGGTTGCCTGTCCCTGGTAACCGTCGCCAGGAATGGAGCTGTCTCCCTAATCCCCTCAGCCACACAGCACTCTCCCGCCTTCTGCACAGTGTGAAACCCCCACGAAACCGCAGGCCTCTGTGGGGTTTCTGCATGACTGTGTTGGGCTGTAAGATGTGATTGTTCACAGAGTTGATGCACTTTGTTCTTTAGGGAAAATGGCTTTTATTAGACCACATTCCTCCTTTCCTTTAGAATTGCTCTCAGAAAATTGGCCAGATACCCACCTGCGGTCGACCTGGGGTTCCCGGAGTAGATCACTTGCAGAGCGGGCTGCGGCATCGTCGGAAAGCCCCTCTTCCTCTGGCAGAACTGGCCCCAGAGCTCCTGGGCTTGGCCATTCCAACCAGGTGTTTGCCATTGTCTCCTGAGAACATATGTTCTTGTAACGTAAAGCTGCCCCATGGTAGTGCGCCAGGGAGGGGCGCTCCGAGGAGTGATGGGGTCAGAAACCCCCGCCCCCCAGGGTCTGTTCGAGTTACTGCCATTGACTGGGTTCAGGCAGAGCTCTCTTTTGTGTTGATTGTTGAAGGCACGTACCTGCAGCCAAAGATGAGTATTTCATTCTTTTGTGTGAAACACAGAAACTTTTTCACTTTCAGTCATTCTGAGGCGATTCAGGCAAAGGGACCCTGGTGTGATTCTGCAGATAGTCTGTGCATCTGAGCCGGTACTGTCCCTGGTCCGGTTAAGTCCATTTTACTTTGTACATTTTAGTCACCACATTTCTTTTTTTAAAGGTGAAAGCAGAAAGATTTTTTTTTTTTTTCAAAATCTGTCTTCTGGTGTGAATGTCACAGGAGATCATGTGAGTCATGGAAATTGAGATTTTCCTAAGTTGCAATCCTAAACTAAATGTGTGTATGTGGTTGGGAGCCCATGATAGAAGTCCATAAAATACACAGAAGTAAAGAAGATACTTTAAAAACTTTCACAAGGCATGGTTGGAAAGGAAAAGTGAATTTTAACTAGATAAATGGAATGGCAACTCAGCATAGCAATGAAGTTGGGTCACTGAGGGTAGGAATGTCATTGAAAGCAAATAAGACCTCAGCCAAACTTTCTGATGTAGAATATATTATCTGACCTTTTTCTAACTCGTTTCCTCCAAAGAGTTACTTTAGGTCTTTTATACCAAAAAAAAAAGTGTTGTTTTTTTAAACTGCAAACCTGGTTTTAAAGAGAGGTTTTATATTCAGAAGTTTAAAATGTTCAAATGTGAACATTGAGACAGAAATCCACAGATGTCTTTTCTCTGAACTAGAAAACATCCACTTAATCCTCCCCTTAAAGATTCATGCAGGATTCTTATGGAAAAGCCCGTTGGTTCTGAGGGGTAAAGCTGAGAAGATATATGTGTATATTTAATGATGATTTTAGCACTGTTTGGAAACAGTCTTCTGGTACTAAATTTTGTTCATAAGTTCCCTAAAGCCTTTGAAAAGGAATTTTAACTCAGTGTGCAATTCTTCGTCGGAACAGGCTTGACTTTTATTTCTCATGCTCTGTCAAGTACACAGATGTTTCCAATAGTTTTTGATTACTCTGTGAGGGGCTAAAAAAACCAGTGCCAGAAATAAGGTTTAGCTTAATTTTCCTTGGGCAGCCCCCTTCTCCCTTCCCACCCTTCCCCCACCCGCTGATTGCTCCATGTGGCTTTGAGCACTCTGAAAAATTAATAGGACTCGGAGTGCAACGGGCCCGGGACGGTGATGAGGTGCTGTGTCTCCATGTGGCGTTTCCCAGGGCTGGGGGCGGACCAGTGACAGGACAGCGTGACAGGCCTGTCTGAGGGGCCCTGGGCAGGGGTGACAGGCACCGCAGGCAGGCAGGTCCGTGGGACGTGCAGGTCCTGTGGGGCCTCGGCAAGCGGACCCCATATCCATCCGGCTAGCTCAAGGCTCACGCTTCTCCTGGAACTGGGAACATTCCTCCTTTTCGCTACAGGGATTAACCACTTCCAGCACGTGGGCTTTTACAGGAAATCACTTCTCTGGGCCCAGCCTCCACCTTTCCCTTCTACCATTAGGTCCTTGGCTGTTCGCAGAGAAATGTGTAAGGTCTGCGCGGTTTTCCCACAGAGCAATTTGCAACATGTAGAAGGCGATTAAACATTTGTGGAAAACTCCCTTTGTGGCCTAGCAAAGACGATTCATTGTGTCCATATCTGTGCTTTATTAGGAAGGGTTTGTTTTGCGTTGGTTTCTGTGGTTGTCCAATGGCCATGTGTTTCTTATTCTAAATATCTAAACTTGCTCTTGAAAGACAGGCTGTTCGACCAGAAGGGGATGAAGAGCGTGGGGCAGGACAGGGGCTGGCAGGCACAGTCTTCGGCGTGGCCGGGGGGCCCAAGGACCCTGCCGGCTGTGAGCCTGAGCCGGGGTCGGTTCCCAGTGCTCTGCCAGTGGACTGCCGGGTGGCCTCCTGGACAAGCATGTCCGCCACAGGGGGCCCCCCATTGCTTGCTCCACTCCCACCGCCCAGCCGTCTCCTCTTCTGTCCTTCGCCTTCTCTGTGCGGATGTCCTTGGGAAGACTGGGCAGGTCCCAGCTTAAACACGGCAGACTTAGCTCCTAAAGTCACAGAGGAAAGCTGTGCTTCATTTT